TTTTGTTTTCTTTACATTGAGATGCAATCCATACCAAAGGCTGTGCTCTTTGGTCTTCATCAGTAAGTACTTTAAATCCTCTTCGCTTTCAGCAAGCAAGATTTTATTATCTGCATATCACAAGTTGTTAATGAGTCTTCCTCCAATCCTGATGCCATGTTTTTCTTCATAGCTTCTTGGACTATTTACTCAGTATACAGGTTGAATAAGTATGGTGAAAGAATACAACCCTGTTGTACACCTTTCCTACTTTTTGGTGTTCCTGTATTCTGTTTGAACAACTGCCTCTTGGTCCATGTACAGGTTCCTCATGAGCACAATTAAGTGTCCCAAATACTCATTCTTCACAATGCTGTCCATAGCTTGTCATGATCTGCACCATCGAAAGCCTTTGCATAGTCAATAAAGCACAGATAAACCTCTTTCTGGTATTCTCTACTTTCAGTCAAGATCCATCAGACATCAGTAATGATATCCCTCATTCCACGTTCTCTTCTGAATCCCACATGGACCTCTGGAAATTCTCTGTCAATGTATGCTTGCAGCCATTTCTGTATTACCTTTAGTAAAACTTTACTCGCATGGGATATCAATGATATTGTCCAATGATTTCCGCATTCCATTGGGCACAAATATGGATCTCTTCCAATCAGTTGGCCAGATAGTTGTCTTCCAAATTTCTTGGCATAGATGAGTGAGTGACTCCTGTGCCATCTCACTTTCTTAAAAGATTTCAGTTTTCATTCCATCAATTCCTGATGCCTTGTTCTTTGCCAATTCCTTCAATGAACCTTGGGTTTCTTCCTTCAGGATCACTGGCTCTTGATCATATGCTACCTCTTGAAATGGTTGATGTTTAACCATTTGAGGATTGAATTTTTTCTTCAGTTTCCTCAGTTTGAGAAATGTTGAGTGTGTTCTTCTCTTTTAGTTTTCTAACTCCAGGTCTTTGCATATTTCGTTATTATATTTGACTTTGTCTTTTTGAACTGCGTTTTGAAATTTTCTGTTATGCTCTTCTACCTCCTCTCTTCTTCCATTTACTTTAGTATTTCTACACTAAAGAACAAGTTTCAGAGTCTCTTCTGACATTCATTTTGCTTTTCCTTCTTTCTTGCCATCTTAATGACCTCTTTCTTTCTTCCTATATGATGTTCTTCATGCCATCCCAGAACTCTTCTGGTCTTCGGTCTTTAGTGTCTAATGCATCAAATCTGTTCTTCAGATGACCTCGAAATTCAGGTAGGATATATTCAAGGTCATATTTTGGCTCTTATGGATTTAATTTTCTTCAGCCTGAATTGCATGTGAGCAATTGATGATCTGGTCCACAGTCTGGCCTTGCATTGTTTTGGGTGATGATATGGAGTTTTTCTACCATCACTTTCCACAGATGTAGTCAATTTGATTTCTGTGTATTCCTGAATCGGGCTGCGAATCGCAAGGTCAGCAGTTCGAAACTACCAGTGCTTCCACGGGAGAAAGATGAGGCTTTCTGCTCCCATAAAGACTTACAGCCTCGGAAACCCTGTTCAGGGTCACTATGGGTCGGAACCAACTCCAAGGCACTTAACAACAACATCTTCTTACACTTTTCAAAAACTCAGAAATTAGCTCAGAGCAATCAAGGTTTTTTTCCAGGCTCCCAAGTATTGTACTCCCTTCTCCACAACGTACTCTTCCTCATCCTCTGAAGAACTGTCAGCTGCCCACTTGGTTTTCTTTCCCATGTCTCACACTATTCCACCTGAAGAACGAAGGCCACTGGGTTCCCGGGATCCAGCGTAATCACTCATGCTAACGTTTTCTCTGTTAATCTGTGGCAAGGCAGGACATAGTCGCCTTTTATGGTGTTTTAAAAAGGTATTTGAAATGAACAAATCATTGTTCTTGCAAAATTCTGTCATGCAATCTCCAGCATCGTTTCCATCAAGGCCATATTTTCCAACTACTGATCCTTCCTCTTTGTTTTCAACCTTTGCATTTCAGAATGTCAGACTGAAGAAGTTGGTAGAATTCTTCAATTTCATCCTCACTGGCTTTAGTGGTTAGGAGTAAATTTGAATAATAGTGGTATTAACTGGGCTTCCTTGTAGGTATATGGATATTATCCTATCACAGATAGTGTAGTACTTCAAGACAGATCTTGATATGTTCTTTTTGATGATGACTGTGATGCCATTCCTCTTCAATTTGTCATTCCTGGAATAGTAAACCATGGACTGTCAGATTCAAAATGGCCAATGCCTGTCCATTTCAGCTCACTAATGCCTAGAATATCGATGTTTATGTGAACACTGGCCAAACACTAGACAGCTCTAAAAAGAGAAAAGTAAGACTAGGGAGGCACATATTCCTAGAGTAATCAACAATTTGAGATCAAATGGGCAACATTTATTTGCCCAAAGACAAAGTTCAGAAGGGTTAGGAAAGGAGGAGGAATGGGAATGGGAAACACGTGGAGGAAGTAGGATGAGTGATGTTACGTTGTGGGGACTAGAATCAATGACATGAAACAAAATGTATATGCATTGTTGAATGGAAAATGGTTTGCTCCGTTCACATTGACACAGTAAACCTTGACAAATCACAGTAAAATCTCCATAATTCTTGACAAACCACATTAAAAAGTTAAAAAACAATAAAGAAAAAATGGACACATACTCCATGCTTTATTACTTGCTGCCCTAGAAAGGACTGTCTTACTGTGGACTGTTTTCTTATTAGAAGCTCTGGTAGCATCGTGGATTACAAACTGGGCTGTGACCACAAGGTCAGCAGTTTAATTTACCAGTTACTCCACAGGAAGGACTCGTGGTGTGGCACTGTTGGTTAATGTGCTGGACTGCAAAGTCTGCTTGAACCCAGAGGCCTGCAGTTCAAGCTCATCAGCTACTTCTCAGAAATCCTATACAAGGTTGCTGTGGGTCGGAATCTGACTTGACGGCACTTAATAATCACAGGAAGAAAGATGAAGCTTTCTCTTCCTAAAAAGATTTACAGCTTCAGAAACCCTATACAAGGCCATTACGAGTCAGAACTAGCTCGACAGCACACAACCAACACCACCACTTTCTTATTACCATGTTGTTGTTGTTGTTAAGTGCCATCGAGTCGGGTCCGACCCATAGCGACCCTGTACAGGGTTTCCGAAGGTGTAAATCTTTACGGGAGTAGAAAGCCTCATCTTTCTCCCGCGGAGCGGCTGGTAGTTTCGAACCGCTGACCTTAAGGTTCGCAGCCCGATTCGTAACCACTACGCTACCAGAGCTCCATTTCTTATTACCATAGTAAATATTTATTATGTAACTCTTAGAATAACAATAGTATGAGAGGTAGCTAGTTGTGATAGCTCCATTTTTAGATGAAGAGATTGAGGCTCAGTGAGTTAAATAACTTGTCCATAGTCAAATGGCAGAGCTAGGAGACAAAACACCATGAGTCTGGCTCTAGATGACTCCTTAAATGTATGCTGTCCTGTGCTCAAAGAGTACCGAAGGCAACTAGGGTAGGAGGCATCCAGGTTGTGGCTACCCCAGCCTGAACTTCTGATGAGGCCCCAGGAAAGGGGTGCTTAAGTGGCAGCATCTAATTTGGGGTCTGCAATGGAAGTTGAGGTCTCTGAATTTGCTGCTAAGCAGGCAGTTGGATTTGGTTTCCTTGTACATTTAGAAGTTTCAGTGTTCTACCTGTGCCTTTTGGTGTGTTTGTGTAAAAAACATGCAAAAAGGTAGGATGCTTGTTTGTTTTATCTTAGCCTTCACACAAACATACCTACAACATTCCTTTTTACTTTAGATGATAAGAACTTTTGTACCCGCTGTTCCCTCTGCCTGGAATGTTTTCCCTCTAGATGTTTTTAATTTTTAAGAATGTTTCCCCCTAGATCTTTGTATATTTATTCCCTCACATCATCCAGGCCTCTGCTCAATGTGCCCCCTCAGAAAGGCTTCCTCTGACTACCTTATGGAAAAGATCTTGCTACCCCTGCCCTCCGGCAACCCTGATCTGATCACATTCATATTTGCCTCTTGAGGTAGTTGTAGAGTTCAAGTGAGTTAACGTATAAAACACTGGTAAATAAGTGTTATTATAAGTGGGAATCCTGATTTCAGTTTCACCATGTATACATTTATTTCTCTGTGTATTTGTGCGTTCTACCTCTCACGTACTAGAATATCATCCCCATGAGAATAGGGAAGTGATTGGCTTGCTTGTTGCCTGGAACAGTGTCTGACACATAGAAAGGGGTCAATAAATACTTGTTAAACTCAATGAAGGAACTGAGGTTTGGGGAGGCGGGAATTGTTAAGGCTTTCATTCATACTTTCTACAAATATTTACGGAGCACCCACTCAATGCTCAGCTTCCTTCATCTTTAGCCAGTGAATCTGGCAGAGCTGAGATTTATGAATAAAGACGTAGTTTGAAGTATAATTTACATACAGTGAAATACACTTTTAAGCGGACAGTCCTAAGCATTTTGAGAAATGCATGTTTCCGGGCAATCTACACTCCTATAAAGAAATAGTATATTCCTCTCACCTCTGCAGGGCGGGAATTTTGAACTTCATTTTAAGGAAAAGCAGGCATGTGTAGTGTGAGGGGACTTGCCAGGACTTCGCATCTGGAACTCTGCGGGGGCCCTGGGCGGGGGTGGGGCAGGAGTGGCGGGGGCGGAACTACAAGTCCCAGGCTGCTTTGCGTGCCAGTGGGTCGTGCGGAGCGGCGGAGCTGTGGGGAGGGGGCGCAGCTGCGGCGGAGGCGCGGGGACCAGGGCGCTGTCGGTTGGCGCGCTCCGGCGGCTGGCGATGCCGGGGGCCGGGGCCCGGGCAGAGGAAAGCGGCGGCGGCGGCGAGGGCGCGGCCCCGGGGAGCACCGCGGAGCCTGGGGTGGGGCCCGGGCGGGAGCCGGCGCGGCTGTGTGGCTACCTGCAGAAGCTGTCGGGCAAGGGCCCGCTGCGTGGCTACCGCAGCCGCTGGTTCGTGTTCGACGCGCGCCGCTGCTACCTCTACTACTTCAAGAGCCCGCAGGACGCGCTGCCCCTCGGCCACCTGGACATCGCCGACGCCTGCTTCAGCTACCAGGGCCCAGACGAGGCAGCAGAGCCGGGCGCCGAGCCTCCCGCTCACTTCCAGGTGCACAGCGCGGGAGCCGTCACGGTGCTCAAGGTGGGACGGCGTGCACTCCGCTCCCCTGCCCCCCAACTCGGCTCCCACTCCGGAGTCTTGGCGGCTGCGGCCGACTCTCTGCTCCTGCTAGCTCTGCCCATCGGACTTTTCTACAGCCTTTCTCAAAGGCCTCCTGGGCTTTTGCCTTCCTTCCCCATATCGTCTCCAAATTCAGCTGGGTTTAGGCCAGCGTTTCCCCTCCCTTGTGGAGACACTGACTTATCACCCTCCTCTACACCTTCCCTAGGGGGCTCGTGCCCTTGCTGGCCTTTACACTCCCTGGATGCCCTCTGAACCCTCTCCCCACTAACAGCGCCTGCAGCCTTCTGTGAGGGCCTTCCAAAAGTTAGAGGAAAAATGGAACTAAAATATCAGGGAATTTTCCCTTGAAGCCTGTTTGTACCTCCAGGGGCTCCTTTATAAGTTATTTCACCTTTGTGAGCTTCATCTATCTCTGTAAAATGGGAATAATAGTATCTACTAAGATTTGGTGGTGTGGTGGCTAAGTGCTGGCCTGCAGACTCCTGTGAAGATTGTTGTAGTTGTTAAGTGCCATGGAGTCCGTTTCGAGGCCGTAAATCTTTACAGGAGCAGACAGCTTCATCTTTCACCTTGTGGAGCGACTGGTAGATTCGAACGGCTGGCCTTATGGTTAGCAAGCCAGCTCATAATCCACTACCATACAAAGTTTACAGCCTAGAAAACTCTTTGGGGCAGTTCTGCTGTGTCCTAGAGGGTCACTGTGAGTAGGAGTTGATTCGATGAACACACGACAGTTACTAGTATTTAGTGTGTAGGGTTATTGGGGTTAAATGAATTATGCAGCAAAGTGTTCTTTAAATGTTACTGCGTTTAGTGCTCTAGACCAAGAGAATTGGGGATGGCAGGGCCTTTAGAGATAATCCACTGCAACCCCCTCCAGTGTGGGCAGGGAAACACAGCCATCTAAGGTCACACAACCACTAAGTGGCAGAGCCTGTTTTTTGGCTCCTTGTTTTGCCTGGGAGAGGTGAGAAATGACTGCTCCAACCAGCTCTGCTTTGCTCATTTCTTTATTTTCTAGCAGAGACACAATGTGAGGGATACAGTGTGGAGAAAGCATTGGCCTAGATTCAGCAGAAGTCCTGGTCCTGAGAGTCTCCCCGCATGCCTGGGGGTCTCAAGAAGTCTAGACATGTCATCTTCTAGGAGTGCATTCCCTTCCAGCACCTGGGGGTCTGGACCCTGGCCTAGAGCGCCTTTACTCCTGGCCTTGCTCCCTGCCTGGTTCCTCTGAGTCTCCACCCTCACTCTTTCTTTCTTCTCTTCCGTATTGCAAGCTGGGCTTTCTCCAGAGCAGTGGGGCTGGGCTAGGGTGTAGGAAAGCTCTCTGCAGAGCCAGCCAAGTGCAGAGCAGAGTGGGCTGTGCTTAGCTCCGTGGCCTTGTGAGCACAGCCCTGTTCCCCGAGACCTCCAAAGCCCGCAGCAGCTGGAGCTGCTCCCCTGGGTCATTTTTGTAACTTTGTCAACCCTACTCTTGCTGTTAGAGCAAGTCAGATTGCCACATTCTTTTGGACTCCTCCATTCCATCTCTAAATGGGTGCAGACAGCCTGTTTCTTCAAAGAAAGCCAAAGAAGGCTGTATCTCAGCTCAGGCTCACTTAGCATTTTGAACACACTTTGGGAATGGCCCCAGTGAGTCCATAGGGGCTTTTGCCAAAAACCGGCTTGTCCTCAGTGTTGCACGTGAACCGTTCCTGTGTCGGATGAATTTCCTGTGGAATTGTTTGTTGAGAAAGAAAATAGGCATCCTGTGTCAGATCTTCCCAGATGACACTGGAACCCTCCCTCAGTATTTTCATTTAAACAGAAAAATCGAGACCACAAGGCCTAGTGCTACAAAGAAGGTGGCTTTAGGGGTGGGTAGGCTTGAGCAGCATAAAATTGAGCAAGAAAACCAAAGGGGCAGAACAATAGCATTTAGAATGGCATTGTTTGTGTAAAGATGAAGAAGATCGTGAGAAACCCTTCAGATCATTTAAGGAAATGGTGACCTGTGGGACTGCGGATGATGAGCTCTGGATTCAGAATGGCAGTTCGGGGCAGTGTGGTTGGGCATGGTGCTCACAGGCTCTCACTGTCTCTGTAGTGTTTTATGTCTCGAACTGGGTAGTAGATATGTTAAGTGTTGTTCAGTCGGTTTCAATCTACAGCGACCCTGTATAAGGTTTCCTTATATTCTACCTTTTTGTGTGTTCAGAGTATCTCTTAAAAACGAACAGGAAACCTTTCGTATGGATTACTGACTATACAAGGTTACAAGTTGGGCTACTAGCCTCAAGATCAGCAGTTTGAATCTGCCCATCACTCCATGAGAGAAAGATGAGACTTTCTGTTCCCATAAAAGATGCAGCCTCTGAAAACACTATACAGGATCGCTAGGAGTCAGAACTGACTTCATGGCACCTAAGAACCACCACCAGCAGCAGCTATTCCAGAATATTTCGATATACAAAGTTAAGTTAGTCACAGGACAAGAGAGAATGCCTGAGGTCAAGTGTTTGCACATGGAAACACAGGCAAGGCTTTCTAAAAGTAGGGAGCATGACGAGATCAGCTTGCAGTCTAAGGGTGAGTTTCAGAGCACAGGGTTCCTTTTGATTTGTAGAAGTAAACATTATATGGTGGGGGGTGGGGAGGAAGGAAAAGCAGTCAGTTCCCATGAAGATCCCAGCCTAGAGGATTCATTGGGGCATTTCTGCCCTGTCACATGGAGCTGCTGTGATTTGAAAATGACTCAGCATCAGCAGTAAAAGTAGAAATAAGCTCTTTGTCTTCCCTGTCACCTTTCAGGTTCAAGAATTGATTCCCCCCCCCCAGATTTTTTCATACTTCACTGTAGGTTAATGAAAATTAAGCCCTGCTCAAATTTTAGCAGACAGGTCATGGCTCCCTATGATAAGCACTGAACTGCAAACCACAAGGTCGGTGGTTCTAGCCCGCCAGCTACTCCACAGGAGAAAGATGAGAATCAGAAACCCTATACAAGGTCTCTATGAGTCAGAACCCACAGCAATAACAAATTGTAGCTAGTTGTATATAATTTTACAGATCTCTTTAGACAGATGGGTTAAAAAAAGAAAGATCAGCAGTTTGCTTATTGTGCTATCATATGTTTCTTGTTTTAAAGCGTCTTTCAGCCTTCTCTGGAGAAGCTGTGGTTTTTATTGTTTTTTCCCCAAAATGTATTATTGCTTGAGTCCTAATGAAAGCCGATATTGGAATTTCTTGGTAATCATCTCTAGTCCCAACCTGAGGAATCTGATCCAGTGTCTTATTTTCCAGATGATGGAAAGGATGGAGGCCAAAGAGGAGAAGTGACTTGCCTGAGACCCTGGAGCTAGAAAGTAGAATCTCACAGAAGTCAGTGTCTCAAATACAGAGTCTCTAGCCTGTCCAATTGTCTTTTTCAGTACTGGGTATTACTGGGTATGAGTTGTTTTGGATTCGATAAGGCAGATGATTTTCTTTTCGCTGCCTGTAATTCCTGCCCTTTCTATGCACCAAGAAAGCGCCATTGTACATACTGCCTCATTCTTCCCCAGGACGTGCAGCACCTGTAATGGGACATTTAGAACCTGCTTTAAGGGTAAGGCAGAGGCAGATGTTTCCTGTGTGAGGTGTGTGTACACATGCGCTGGAGGCCTCTGACTGAGCTTTGCTGGGATCTGTGGCACGAGAGGCTGTGCTGAGGTGAGCTGGCACTTGGGGGAAGGACTGCCTATGACTGACTGAGGGTGAAGAGTGATCAGCCCTGCTCCGTCAGATCCCTGCTCTCCCAGAGCCAGGAGTGTCATCTGACCGCCAGCAAGTAAATTCCGCTCCCTCTGCTCCCTTTCTTGAAGACACTTGGTTGCTGAGATGGACACGTGTGTTAGTGTCTGAGTCACAAGTGTAACTGAACAGTTATGCATCACTACTCTTAGCCCACTTTTGTGGGAAGGATGCATGTTCACTGGTGTTGAAACTGCTTTTGGCTTAATGACAAGCATCTGTAAGCTTGGGTAATCACAGTGTGCTCACTACCAAATAGATGTGGTTAGCTAGCTTTCCCTGTGGTTCTGTGCAGCTGCTGTGTCCTGGGGCATCTGCTTAAGGTCTTGAAGTTTAACTCTTATCGGGGCTTAACTTTTCATGTATGGCGCTATGGGCTAATGCGCTGGATTGCAAAGTCAGTCTGAACCGCAAGGTTGGTGCTAGCTCACTCCTTGGAAACCCTATACAGAGTCACTGTGGGTTGGAACCAACTCGATGGCACTTAAGACAACAACAACTTTTCACGGGTTTGTCATGGCTTCCATTGAGTTAGCTCCTTAAAGTCATGTGATACGCACTTCATGTCACACATGTTATCTGAGTTACCTAATGCTCCTGCAAGAGAAATCTCACCGGTGGATAGCTTTAATGAACAGAATTTTGCTTTCTCACAATTTAGGAAGCTAAAAGTCTACACTTGGGATATCAGCTCTGAGGGAAGGCTTTCTCTCTCTGTATTCTCTGGGGGAAAGGCCTTTGTTGTTTTCTCAATGTCTATTCCTAGCTTCCTTGGAGAGCATGTCTGTATCTTCCCCTCCACGTATAATTGCTTAATCTTTTCTTTTAATACCTCAAAAGAGATTGACTCAAATTGTTGAAAGTGATAAACACTTGGAACATTTACTGATGAAGGTCCAGGATTATAGCCTTCAACAAAAAGCAAACAGAAATCTTCACAACTGGACCCATAAGCAACATCATGACAAAAGAAGGAGATTGAAGTTATCAAGGATTTCATTTTACTTGGATCCACCATAATCACTGCTCATGGAAGCAGCAGTCAAGAAATCAAATGACATATGCATTGGGCAGCTCTAGTGCAAAAGACCTCTCTAGAGAGAAGCGATGTCACTTTGAGGACTAAGGTGTGCCTGACTCACGCCATGGCATTTTTAATTGCCTCACATGCATGCAAAAGTTGGACA